CTCTCTCTCTCTCTCTCTCTCTCTCTCTCTCTCTCTCTCTCGGCAGCTGAAGCATCTTGCCTCTTTGGAAGTTGTCACCCTCTCCAGTGACTTGGGTGAGAGACTCCAGAGCACATCTTGGCTTTGCTCTCTCTGATTTCTCATATGCATCACTCTGGCACGCTGCAAATATTTGACTCATGCCATCTGTTCCCCAGGCAGGGTCTATTTGCTGCTTATGACCTTCAGGCTGCCCAAGAAACACGTCTGCTCCCACCTCTCCCCATTCCTTTTCATGTGCTGTACTTCGTGAAGCGAGCCTCCCAGGACAGCGTCTCCACTATGAATGTGGGCAGGACAGGAGTGACCATGACTTAGCAACGAGGAAACCGAGGCAAACAGAACAGCCCTGCCCAGCTCTGCTTGCTGACCTCAGTTGATATTGGCCTAGGGCAAAGGAAGTGAGCTTTTGGCATGGTATTGCGCAGAGTACCTCTAGTAGGAAAGCAGTAGCAAACAATCCAAGCTGAACTCCATCCTCTGGACTAGCCCAAGGTATTTTGTTGCCTGAGGCAAAAGCCAAGATGCCACCTGCTCTAGTTCTAGAGACAGCGGTGCTTTCTGAAACCTCCTTTTGAAACATTCATCAGCACTGGCAATGGGACTGGGCTCTTCACCAGTCCTGATGGCAGCAGGCTTGTCAAGGGGGCACAGGGCAGGACTCCTGGTCCACAGATCTTTCCTTGAACACCTTGTGGCCATCTCTCAGCATCCGCCACCTACAGAGAACACCTCACTCTGCCCACTGGTATGGTCAGCACAAAGCAAAGGCCTCTCCAAGACTCTGAGACTTCAGCTCCAAGCAGTCCCAGCTGGCGTGACCAGTGGGCAAGAATACCTGAAGTTGCAGTCCAAAGTATCCAGAGCACCAGGTAGGGAAGGCTGTTCTATACAATCTGTGTGTACATCATTTCATATCTGAGACTTTCCCCAGAAAAAACCCTGCCCTGAGGGGGGGGTTTGGCTTTAATTATTTTTCAGAGAGAGCATTAAGTGCTGCATTACTGCACAATTGCTGATGTTCAGCTGTTGGGTATCCTGATGCCATCCCTACTTTGGCGCATACCTGCATCTCTGCTTTTCCAGGAGCAATCACATAATGGTTTTCCCCATGCAACACTTTGATTGCGATATTATAGCATGTTTGCCAATCTGAGTGCTTATTTCCCTTATCCTTTCTGTGTCATTCCATGTCCAGTCAGTCCACTCCATACAGCCACCTCCTTTCCAGATTTGATCATGGTTTGGTCTCACAAACTATAATTAAGCAAGTCATCATTGCTGGAAACTTTGCTTCAAAACGTTGAAGCTAATGCTTCCAATCACATCCTTGCAGGTGTGAAAGAGTTGAGAAGGGGGAGTATCATAGCTTTAGGCTCCATGTGGCTTATTCACACAGCAGGAAAACATTTCCCATTATGTCTGAACAGTACCAGAGAAATCTTGTATGAAAATGTCCAGCAGAGGAATAAAAGGTTGATTCCCTGTTTGGAAATCTTGAGGTAACTTGTCAATCAGGCAAGAATCTTGCTCAAGATGCATCATATTACAACACAGCTTCCTCAAACTACCCTTCTGTATTCAAAATGTATCACAGTAGCCTTGAAGAACAGACTCCATTGGGAATATTGCCTCATTTAATCAACTTCTGCAGCAATAGGTATCCCTGCAGCTTCTTCATTCAGCCAATCAAAACTTTACAGCTTGGCCAAGACTGATCATTCAGTCTTATAATACAAAAGGGAATACATTGTTCAAAATATAATTAAGACATGGTCTAATGTAATCAATTACTACAATCAATACATGGTATTGATAGTAGCAACTAAAATGCATTATGGATTTTAGTTGCATTTTAAACAGAAGGAGGAGGGAGAAAATCCCCAAACAAAATCAATCTAGTGACTATGTAAGAACTAACAGAATCCAAGTATTTCCAACAAAAAATAATAACCAAAATAGTTTTGATGTCAGAAGTATTAACAAAAGAAAGACAGTTCTCTCCATTTGTAATTGATGTAGCTATTAAACATTTTTCATGCTCCTTCACTGTTCCAAAACAAAATGGCAGTCATACGAAATTCAACTTATAACTTTAAAATAGGCAGAACTGCAACTAAAAAACTAGTATGTCAGTTATGAGTCTGATCTGTCAGCAAGACCAGTGCATCCTCACCTCCCCAGTCCCTTTTCTTTCAACCAGTCTGCTGTATATTTCAGTTGGTGGGAACTATGTAAACTATAACACAACACTCTCTGCTTCCACAACTGGTCGTCTACAGAGATACCAGTGCTTCTCCAGTGGAGTCCCTCTGAGTTACCTTAATGTAATTTCAAGTGAAGCAGGGCCATGTCCATTGTGCTTCCTGGTGCGATGGCCCAACGGCAATAGAGATCACAGATACCTGGGTGGAATAGATCATGGGCTCTGGGTGGAATTGCAGTAAAGCAGCCAGACGGCAGCCCATCACATGCCTATAAGGGAGGCACAACTGCCTTCTTTACTAGGTGGCTTTCCTCAGTTTTTTACCAGTGCCTAACACATCTGAATGGCAGCAGGATAAGCAGGTACATCCTTGGCTAGCAATGGGATTCCAGAGGAACTATATCTACCACCTGGATAGTGAAACAACAAATGTAAGATGGTGCATTTAATTCAGAAACTATCCACCGCTAGTCATATCCCTGATACTGTGCCAGAAACGTTCACTGAGATGATATACCACCACACCAGTGGCTGGGAGCTTGGCTATGTGCAAAAAGACTATGAGCCACCTACCCTCCATGCTGTCTTCATGACGCATGTTGAAATTTTCATAGGAGTCCCTGCGTATGAGGGGATCGGAGGTGTTGTAGTCCACTGAGACACTGGGGCCATTCTCAAGGTGCTCCATGCCTATGAAGCAAGGACAACATGGTTTCAGCCACAATACAAGTCAAGATCTTTATGTGCCAGTTCAGTAATGAAAGAAGCTGGTAACGTAATAAGGGAAGAACAAATATGGAGAGGGATAAAAGGGAAATGGGGCCAAAGAGACACAGATGAGGCATCACTGATGAGAGCCAGGGTCAGGAAACAAGGATATTCATTTCAGTCATAGCAAGTCCAGTCACAGCAAGTAAGGCAAGTAGAAACCAAAGCTAGGACAACCGAGGGACAACGGTCACACCTAGGAAGTCTGCTCAAGGAAGCATGGGCCAGGCCAGAGGTCAGCGATTTTTGATCTTTGATCTGTTCTGAGCTACAAGTCCCATCAGCCTAGCCAATGGTGAAGAATCATGGAAGCTGTTGGCCAAAACATCTGAAAGCCCGTAAGATGCCCATCCCTGGATTAGAGAGAAAGAGTAGCAACACGGGGCTACAGCAGAGCTAGGCAACCTGGTGCCCTGTGATTGTTTTAGACTGCAACTCCCATAAATCCCAGCAGCATTATCCATTGTTGGGTATAGTGAGAGTTACAGTCCTAAACACTTAGCAGGCTTCAGGTTGTCATCTAGGGTGAGAAGCTACTGGTGGGATGGGAAGTCATGGAAGAGTGTAAGCATAAGGCCGGGTAATCTCCTTGTTACGCAGGCAAGGACCTGAGCTAGATCTGGAAGATTTCTTTCCCACAAAAAGACACGAGCAGCCATTCAGGAAGGTCACAGAGGATGCCTCCATCAGCAAGGTAGTTCCGCAAGGAAAAAAGGGTTGAGGACCCATGAGACCTGGTGACTGAGTTGGCTGCTAGTGTTGATGATGCTGAGAAGTCCTTAATCAAAGGTACGTGTCATATCAGCAAAGGATGACCAAGCAGCAAAAGTATCAGGCACAGGTCTCATACAGAACAAGGGAGTGAGGATAGCTAAAAGAGCCCTAGAAAATGGAAGCGGAAGGTTGGTGACTAGAAAATTAAGCACCTTGAATCTTCTCAGGGCCGTAAGAGAACACAAACTCCACTTTCCCATACTCTGGAAACCGCTCATCTGCAATGAAAAAGAAGAGAAAATGACAGTCAGTAGATCTATCTGTCCATGCTGACAGAAGCCATATGAAATGGGGCAATACTCAGTAGGCAAGAGAAGCAGCATTTAGAAGGGATTTGTTAGTGGGTTCCCAGCCTTGCGTACCATATATCCTGGGTGGAAAAAAATTCTGGGGACTCGTACAGGCATTCATCATGGCTGTTACTACCTCAAGGATTTGGTGCTTTCATTGGTTTTCTAGCCCTGCATTCGATCACAACATGGTGCATCCTACAAAAAGGTCAATACAACCATAGCTGTAGGCCTAGTATTGGTTCCAGTGAAACACCCCTCTAAAAAGTCCATGTGTTTTTCTACTCTGCCCTCCCTGCTGCCCAAGCCAATAAGTCTCTGAGGGACGGCCGGGTACCTGCCCCTTTAAAGGAGGCGGTAGTCTGGCCAGTCCTAAAGAAGGCGTCCCTGGATCCAGAGATGGCCACCAATTATAGACCGGTGGCCAACATCCTGTTTCTGGGCAAGCTGTTAGAATAGGTGGTGGTGGGAAAACTCCAAGCACTCTTGGATGAGATTGATTATCTAGACCCATTTCAGTCTGGCTTCAGACACGGGTATGGTACTGAATCGTCCTTGGTCGCCCTGTACGATGACCTGTGCAGGGAGAAGGACAGGGGGAGTGCGTCCCTGTTGGTCCTCCTGGACCTCTCAGCAGCTTTCGATACCATTGACCATGGTATCCTTCTGGATAGGCTTGCGGGATTGGGGGTCAGAGGCACTGCTTTGCAGTGGTTCCGCTCCTATCTCAATGGCCAATTCCAGAAGGTGGTGCTGGGGGACTATGGCTCTGCCCCATGGCAGTTATGCCATGGAGTTCCGCAGGGATCCATTTTGTCCCCCTTGCTATTTAACATCTAAATGAAACTGCTGGGAGAGGTCATCAGGAGGTGTGGGCTGCGGAATCATCAGTACGCTGATGATACCGAGCTCTACTTCTCTTTTTCAACCAGGTGAGGCAGTGGCTGTACTGAACCGGTGCCTGGCCGAGGTAATGGGCTGGATGAGGGCTAATAAACTGAAGCTCAATCCAGACAAGATGGAGGTCCTGTTGGTGGGTGGTTCGGGCTCTGGGGTAGGTGACTTGGACCTTGTCCTGAATGGGGTTGCACTCCCTCTAAAGGACAGGGTCCGCAGCTTGGGAGTGCTCCTCGACCTGGAGCTGTCTTTGGAAGCTCAAGTGACTGCGGTGGCGAGGAGTGCTTTCCTTCAGCTTCGGTTGATCCATCAGCTGCGTCCCTACCTGGAGGATGATTGCCTAGCGACAGTGACACATGCATTGGTTACTTCCCGATTGGACTTCTGTAATGTGCTCTACGTGGGGCTGCCCTTGAAGACGGTCCAGATACTTCAGATGGTGCAAAACAGAGCTGCCAGGTTGCTGACGGGGACTGGGCATTGTTCTCACATAACCCCAGTCCTCCATCAGCTTCACTGGCTCCCCATCGAAGTCCGGGCCCAATTCAAGGTGCTGGCTATCACCCACAAAGCCCTTAATGGCTTGGGACATATTTGCCCTCCCGCCCCTTGAGTTCGGCAGCAGAGGCCCTCCTCCGGGAACCCTCCATGAAAGACATCAGGAGAGTGAGCACCCGGAGGAGGGCTTTCTCTGCGGTGGCGCCCCACTTATGGAATGCGCTCCCCAGAGAGGTCCGCCTGGTGCCGTTGTTATTTGTTTTTCGGCGCCAGGCCAAGACCTTTTTATTCAAACAATATTTTAATAATTGTTAATATTATTTACTGGTTTTAATTTTTATAGCCAGGCTGAATCCAGATTTTATATTTTATATGTATGATTTATATGATTGTTGATTTATTATGTTGGAAGCCATCCCGAGGCTTATGCGACTGGGACAGCATATAAAAATTCCTAAATAAATAAATAAATAAATAAATAAATTTATCTTCATTCTCCTCAGTGCATTTATTCTTACCCTTAAAGGCATCATCCAGGTCTTCCTTGTTGAAGACAATGGCCAAGTCATGAATGGCACAAGTGTGGAACTGCACCCGGAAGATGACATCCCGCGTCGGGCTACGAAACTCCTTGTGGTAACATTTCAGCTGCCAGAGGAAAGGGAGAGGATGAACACAAGTGGAAAGAGCCATCAGTTTGGCAGTGGTATCATGGTAAATTTGAAAGGACAGGCACCTAATAATGACACTTCCCATACACCCCAATGGAGATGTAGGCAGTTGGATTGATCCATATCAACAAACCAGTTCTAGTTTTCCAGTCCACTGGAGGCAAATGAGCTTTAACTGCCCATACAAGACAAGGGCACCACAGAGTGCAGCTATGACAATAAAGAAAAATATCTTCTTGTGGGGTAAATTCATTCCCTCCAACTACTGCAAGGATTGCAACTAAGCTCAGAGCAAACAGGGAATGCAGAGGGAATGGCACATGATGTCAGCATCCCTGGAGATCTGCCACCTAGAAAGCTTGAATTATTATACCCACCTATGAACTTACACCTGAATCTTTTGTGCCCCACTAGGTTCCTTCTGTGCACCTCCCTCACAAACTGGGAACCTTTTCAGTGTCTTTAGATTGCAGTCTACAGTGTGTAGGTACCTTAGGCCTCTGATACCAACATCTCCAAAAAGGACTCACCAGTTGAAGCTGTGCTCAGTGAGGCCAAGCCCCACACTGGTCAGAAATGGAAGCAAAAAAGCACTGTTTGAGTCTTACCAAGATGTCTCCCTTTAAGAGCAGTCCGGGCTCTATAGTGATGCAGATGCTGGTCTGGCTGTCCCCCTGCACGTTGCTACAGGGAAGAAAGAAGAAAGCTAAGTGTGGGAGACAGAACAACTAAAAGGCAAGGTAGACCCAGTCTATTTCTATTTAAAGAGATGTGAACAGGGGACCATGCTGTGCATGTGTGCAAGGCAACCCATAGGAAACAGTGAGTAAAGGGAAAAAGTGAGGATAAGCGAACATGACCATGAACACACATACCCTAACTGATGGGAAAATCCCATATAGCAAAGGTGAAGAGCCTCTTTTATCCCGAGGGCTGGATTTCATTTTGGACAAGTTCATGGGGACTGCATTCCAGAGTGGGATGGGACTGAAGATAAAAGGAACAGGACCAAAGGCGAAGGAAACAGGGCCAACATTCCACAGATTTCAGCACAAAGCTCTTCCTGCCAGCAACTAAGTTGTAGAAGAGGCCTTTCAGAATGAGGGAAATGCTGGACAAAAGCTGGGAAACCACCAAGTGAACAGTGGTTGGAGGAAAGGGGGCATCAGAGTACCAAATGTGGAGCCCAGACTGGAGTTTCTGCACCCATCCCCTACAGTGTGTGTGTGTGTGCCAGCAAATCATTGCACAATTTGTTCGAGGATCAGTGTAACCCACACCAAGTCCTGCCTGCCTGCCTTGCCAGCATTCCCACTTCTGTGTGAACATTTCAAGTAAGGTATGTGCCTGATGTAATGTTTTCATATATAGGAGTTACTTATTATTTGCTTGTTCATCTCAACCATCCTAGATGTAACCAAAAACTATTGTGAAACATGGCAGACTTAAATCCAGTTAAACTCCTTCCTTCCATCCTAAATCTCTGACCATGCAAATATCAGGACTTTCCCTGCTCTTCTTGCTAACCTGCTTTTTGTATCATCTTTCCTGATGAAGAGACAAAGATCTTGAGAATGAATATTTGCTGGGTGCTAAATAAAGCAGTACCAACAATTGTGGATTTTGGAACTTCTACTTCTGGGATTCTGATTGTGAAAGTTAGTACTTCATAAACAGTATTTCCTACACTGTTATTTATGTGAATCTAGAGTTTGGTCAAGTGTTTGCCATGTCCCTCATCCATAAGCCTTGCTGTTTATCCCGTATTGATAGGTTTTCAATCAGAGACTTTGATCTGTCAAAGTCAAGTCAGGACAAATTTTAATTGACAAATTTGGGAATTATGAGCACACTTTTGATTTGAAAGAAAAAGGAGACACTAAGATGGACCTTCCTTCAATTCACATTTCTTTTGACATTTTAATAACCCACCTCTACTAATGTTTTTGTAGATTTATTTAATGGAAAAAGTAAATCAATTAAAATTCAGATAGTTGACTTAAAAAATCTTTCAATCAATGATCCTATCTCGATGTTTGATAGAATACTTTTTTATTTTTCCCTTGGTGAAGGGAAATTTGAGTTCTGGAAATCAAAAGAGAGTGCCCAGTTTACTGCAAAGCTTACTAGATTCCAGATGTGTAGACCGGCTGCATGGCCTGGTATATCTTGAGGAAGGGTCGGCAGCCTAGGAAACAGAAATCAGAAATGGGCCGTCATTCATCCAGGAGATTAGTTATGGTGAAGGGAATGCAAACAATAAAAGGCAAAGACAGTCAGGCCTAGCAGTGATTCTGTCCTCCCAGCACACAACAGGGCCAAGTTGGTGACAATGACAGACACCCTGAAAAAAACGATGGGATGGCCAAGCTACAACTCCCCTTGCCCAGCATTCTGCTGTTGATGTACACTGACTGCCCCAAGTCCAGGAAGCAGGGGAAAAGCAACAGCAAGCTAAGGCAGCCTCCAATTGGGCAGCCAAAGACATGTGAATAACACAACTGAATGGCAGACCTGATGCCTTCACGTTAAGCAGGTATATGGTTGCCAGTTAAAAGTCAGTGTTGAGAATGTGACCCCCTTTTAGGCTCCTGAAAGTCCTTTCTTGTGCTGTGTCTTAGAATTGCAGTACTTAGCTAGAGCAAGCATTGCATGGCTGTTCTTATGTTTTTATCAAGTGTCCTGAACCAGAGTTCAAGATTGGCAGCACCTTCGTCCCCTGGCCTTCCTGATGGTTTTCAAAGCAAGTAGCAGGGCTGCCTTTCAACAGGTGAAAATGCCTGCACTGATCCTTTGTGGCAATGCAATCTGAGTGCCCAGAGAAGCTGCCGACAGCCAAGGCAATGAGTTAAGCTAGAGGGTCGTGCCTGCAACTTGAGGCCGGCTCTGCAGATGTAGCAGAGTGAGGTGGCAGAAAGGTGACTGGAAAAGCTGTGACACTGCAGACTACAGCTGTGGGATACCCCTTCTGAATGCTTCTTGTATTCCAAAAGGGAAAAAAATGGGGTGGGGAGATTTGCATAGAAAAACAATAGCAGATAAGGCATGGTTTCAAAGAAGCCCTTTGCCTGATCTGGCTTTCTTTTTTCAAGGAGTCTTCATTTTAGGGGAAGTTTCAAATGTGGACTGCAGGAGAGATTCTAGAACCTATGCTGTAAAAGGATGCAGTCCTCTTTTCAGCACACTAGCACCTTACTCTGATACACATGTAGGTCAGGTCCTAAAGACTATCTGCAGAGAAAGGCAGACATTGTGGGATACCTGAATGACCATTAGACAGGGTATACTCCAGTCTCTCGGGACTATTCATTTTATTTATTTATTTATTTATTTAAAACATTTCTATGCCGCCCCCGTCGCAACAAAGCCTCGGGGCGGCACACAAAAAAAAAAAAAAAAACAACTTTGCAACCAGAACAGAGACATGAGTTACCTCCTTTGGACTCAAAGTTGGGAATTCCATGCATGATGACGTGGTGCAGAAAGAGGGGCTTGTTGTTCATTTTGATGGTTCCAGAGAGAAGACCACTGAAGTAATGGACATACCTGGAGCAGAACGCAAAACAGGCATCGGGCAATGAGTTGGGGTCTCTTGAAAGACTTCAATGAATTAAAGAACCCATCTCAGTCTGTGGATCTGGGATATTTCTTGAGGAACTCTTTATTGTTTGAGCTACAAAATCAGTTCATTAAACATTGCATTCCCAGTTCTTTTCTTTTAGCTCCTTAACTGCAAGCCTCAGTTATGAGATCAAAGTCACTGTTGCCATTTTCAGAAATTATACTGATAATATTTTGTGTTATGGTGTTGTTAGGACCAATGCCAACTTCTTTGTTGACCTTAAAAACATACGTTTATACTTTCTGCAGTTAACCAGGAAGGGAGAAACACACCATGATATCACAGAAGTAGCCGTTTAACAAGATGGGGCTCTCAGGCTCTGTATATTGTATAGTTGCTGCATCTATTCTTTCATGTTCATCCTCCATGGTACAAGTGATATTTACCTGGGAGTAAGCTCCATCAGAGTCAGTACTTCTAAGTATACATGCTCTTGTAGGTCATTCTCTAAATTGCTTCTGATTTTGCTATTTGGTATATGGCATGGACAAAGCTATTAATTTTCTATTTCAGTTTATGTATGTGGATGATCTGATTTTCTTTAGGATCTAAAAGACTATCATAGGAAAAGTTGTGATGCAGTTCAAAGTTCAATGCTGAAGTTTAATGCTGAAATGAACACTAAGTCAGTATCTTATAAAAGGAAAATGCAGGCCAAGAGGTTGTTTTTGCTGTTTAAAAACAAGACTACACATTGCTGGCTTCAGCACCACCTAGCGAAATGGTCTGGAAGAGCAATTAAGGCTCGATGGATAACCTACTAACAGGTTTTCAAAAATCAGCAAGACAAAAAGATTCTCTTTGCAACACAGAATTCACAGCACTTTCCTCCCCTTGTTGTTGACTACAAGAAAATTCCTCTTCTAAAGCTTTGCTTTGGGGTAGAGGGAGCCAGCGCTAGGGTCAAGAATGGAAAGCTACTCTTAAAGCCATATATAAATTCTCACCTATTCTTTCCACAGCAGAAAACAGAGGCAAAGGGGGCTGACTCCAAACTTGATCAGTGGGCTATGATGCTCTCTCACTAATGCACAGTGTCCATATATTCATTTGTATCTGCCCACACTTCAAAAGCCAGAACCTCATATCATATTTTACTGTCATCAATGGATTCTGTTCTTGTCATGTGCTGCCAGGTCATCTCTGACTTATGGTGACCCGATGAATGAAAGTCCTCCAAAGTGTTAGTGCTCACTATATCTCAGGGTGCAACATTAGGTAGAACAGTCAATGAAGCACACAAGCAATGACTGCAAAATAATAATACTTTACTAAGATCAGGGCTAAGACTGAGCAGAATTAGTAGATTCACTCCAAAAAGCAAGGGCAGCATGTGGAATGGATGCATTCTGCTTCACCAAATCTCTGGTGGCATCTGGAGGGCATTCTGGAATCCACTGCAGGCATGTAAAGCAAAGCCCAGGCTGGCTAGAACCTAACACCCCAAGCAGGGACTGATACCGCTTCCACCCTGGCATACTACTGTAGCTCAGAATTGGGAGACACCTTCTTGGGTCACACTGGGCTTCCTCTTGTCATTCTGTGGCATCCAAGAAAGCAATATTTCCACCACCCCAGAGCAGGAAATGCCTTGGAGCAGGCTGCAAGAGCTCTTGCACAGTCCAAGAACTTGCCCTTGAAGCCTAACAGGTCTCCTCTTGCCTTAGGCCTCCAACACACCAGATGTGCAGAGGAGAGAAGGCTTATAGTGAGCCAGCAGAGGTCTCTCAAGGCAGATCAAGCTTTCTGTATGCTGAGTAACATTAGCTCCCCTCCAAAGTGCTAAAAGCCTTCAATTATGAGTAATGTGGCAGCCATGCACCCACCAAGCATGTGATTCCAGAGTGAACCCAGAATACACCAGAAATCCAGGGACCCTGACTCCAAATTGGAAATGCTTCCACATCAGTCAGAAGCCATGATTCTGGCTGAGTTGGAGGCCTGCCTCATCCATAATTTTCATTTAAATCCCAGCACTGAAGAACAATACACTGCACAAAACAGCCTTCTCTAAACTGTTCCCAGAATTCTACACATTAGCCTTGTGGGCTGATGGGTGTTGAACTTCCCACCATCTGGAGAACAACAGGTCAGAGTAGACAACAACTGGAGGTGCGAACAATCACATGTGTGTTACTTCGGTGGACCCTGAAAACATTCCTACACATGTGGTCTGAGAAAAGCACCAGGGGCTACCGCACCATCCCAGGAGAAAGCACTCATCCTTGCTCAGCCGGACTAACCTCTTCTGTGATGGCTGCCCCACTGGGATCACCTTGTCCTCATAGAACCTCTTCATGGCAAAGCGATCTAGAGCTTGGTCTGCACTGTGGGATAAACAGAAGAGTCAGCACAGATCTGTTCCAGGAAGATGGAGTCTTCACTGGATTGATGACAAAGAGGCGCCCCGGCAAATATATTTTGTCTCCCTCCCTAATTGTATCTATTTATAGCCTGACTTTTTTGCCTATCTCAAGGAACCCAAGTTGGCTTACACGAGCCAGCTGCTTCCTGCTATCCTCACAAAAATGCTGTGTGGCAGGTTGGGCCGAAGATCAGTGACTGGCCCAAAGTCTCCCATTGAGCTTCATGGCCAAGGGCAGATCAGAACCCTGATCTCCAGATTCCCAGTCCAATGTTGCAACCACTATGCCAGACTGGATCTACACAGTTTCACTACATAATTAGTTGCAAGCTATTTCAAGGTTTCTCACTCAGTGGTTTAGGGTTGTTCTGTCCACCCTCTCCCCACAGGAAAAAGACTAACATTTCTAGGCATCTTATCAATTTAATAAAATTTACTCAGATAGGTGCATTGGACCAGGAAATCAGTGGAGCCTTTATCATCTTTGGTACTGCAATACATCTTCATCCAGAACAATTTATTGTTCCCTTCCCTGTTCTAGAAAGTGTGCCACCTCATCCCTTTTCAGAACTTTTGCCTTCAGTCTGGATAGCAGGTAAGAGGGGGTCAGATGGTTACAGAGAAGCCAACGTGGCATTCCCTCTACCAATAATGAACATTTTCTCCATAACTCCTGAAGATTCAAGACTGGACTCCATCTCAGTGGCCCTAGTGCCTGAAGGGTTGCATCATGTTCTTAGTCCTCCTCACTGGCCTCGCCTCTTGGCCCACCCCTTCCCCTACCCCACCCCATCCTTTCACACTTATTCAGGAGCAGCTGGTGAGCATGAAGCTTCTTTGGAGCTCTTGCTTCAGAATGGTACCTCTCCAGACCTTGAGGTTTCCAGGCCGCCATGATGGCTAGAGGGAGTCCAGAGTAGGCCATTCACCCCATTATTCATGCACACATGCATGCACACACAATCACCATGCACATCATTTTCACGGCCTCTCATGCAAACTGGGCATGAGGCTTTCTTACCTGGCTGAAATGTTGCTGTAATGCATATAGGCAGCAATGACAACCCCCGTTCGGCCTCTGTTCCCCTGCAGGACACATGAGGAAAACAAGGTCATTAGTATCATCAGCAACAAAATCATATAGAAAGTCCACTGTCTTCACTAAAGATTACAAATGGACAAAACCCTCCAGTGTGAAGGTAACACCCACAGACGGGTGAATCAGTCTGTCCTCAGTCTGTATCACTTCTGCATGGGTTCATGCATACATCTATGTCCTCACATTTCCATATTATTCAGCATAGTTTTGCTTTTTCTTCCTTTTCTTTCTTTTGCAAAATTGCACAAATTGTATTTATATTAGGAATGAGCAAATCAGCAAAACTCAGACTTATTTATTTATTTGTTTGTCTATTTAAAACATGTGTATGCCGCCCAGTTGTGTTTCACAATTACAAGACTTTCCAAAGTTCACTGGATTTCACTCAGAAGCTCGTTCGGACTTAAGTCCACGTCAGATTGCGAGCTTTGCAGTTTTCTTTTTGCATCAAACCCATGCATATTTTCATGCCTTTTTCCACATGCACATTCCAATTGCGCACATCTTTCAAATGTATGCATACTGGCAAATCCTGCTGCCACTGTTGCTGCTCATGTGAATTACACTGCAAGCTCAGAAATGAACAGAATGTATCCATGTGCAATCCAGAAAGATTGGAATCAATAAATCCTAATACAAAAAGAAATGTATTTCTCATACGTGCCTAATCCCTAATTCTTAAAAGTATTGTTAAATGAATTGTGCATGTCTAAATTCCTCAAGCATCCCTCGAAAACAGCTGAGTCAAGTTTTGGATGGGAGCAGCTCTATTTAGGTAGGCTATCATAAGACAGGGGATTAAAAGAGACATGGCTTATGGTGGGTTGCAGAGAGAAACTGGGTAGGTCATTCCTTTTTCTGCCCTTAGCATGCATTCCTCACCAGAACAGTGAGACTGAACAACAGGTGGTGCTGTCCCCCTTGAGACGGATGGAACAGTGGCAGCTGCTGAGCTGCTCAAAGTCTCTGGTTTTGCTGTCTCCTCTCATAGCCCATTCTCAATATCATGAAGAAAAGAGCAAGCAGAGGAAGCTGATGCATGCCCCTCCCCCAGCACAGACAGGAAGCACAGATTGCCCCACATGTTCACATTTAATAGAGGATGATTTGGAACATGGAACTGGGAGAGCTGTGTGCATACATTTGTTTGGTTCTGGTGCCAAGTTAGTGCATGCAAAACAAGAAAACAGCTAGTTTGCTGGCCCGACAGTTGCTTCATAGTCTGTCTTCCCACAGAGGTGCCTAAGGCAAGATACAAGTTTTCCTGCTGTTCTCTTATCCTTTCAGTAATGACACACATGAACGTTCTTAGGGCTGTGCTTTCGCTTTGCAAGTTAAAAAGTACCTGATGCTTTGGCTTTGTTTAGAAATGATAATCAGCTATCAAAAAGCTGCTGCACAGTTTTACTATCTTCACGCGGCGACACAGACTTGCACAGCAGGGAGAGAGAGAGCAGATGGAAGTGCTGTTCCCCAGTGTGCCACTCACCAAATGCAACAGCTTCAACAGAGTGTGAAGGAACTTAACCATGCAGATACTAAACACACAGTAATAAAATCCAGCTAAATACAGAGCCTTTTTGGATGTCATATTTGGCCCAGGAAATTAAGGAATGCCCCATATTTCCACCTGGGTAACTCTATTGGTCCAAGGGCCAAAATGGAGATGATGGGCCAACCATGTGCTCCCCCCCCCCCCCAGTATATGCCGTGCACTTCTAAACTAGGCATCTCGCTCTTCTTCCTTACATGCAATGAAGTCCGTGGGTGAGGGAAGTGAAATCCTTGACCTTGCCTTACCTCACTGCACTCCACTGCTTTAGGCAATTTTCTCTCTGCCCTGCTCCAACACTGGAAATGAACTGAGCCGGAGAGAAATGGAATGCAGTGAAGTAAGGTGGCAGAGAGGCAAAGAGTCAGCTCTATGGATAAACAAGAATTTTGTTTGGTTCATTAAGCTTCAGAATACACTCATTTCACATCTCCAAGCACACATGCAAACAGGAATGCATTTTTAGCCAAAGCTCCCATGTTCACAACTCTGTAACCATTTTCAAAACATATGTCTAGAAAAATGAGCATTTTAAAATGAATATTCTGAAGAGGGGGGATTTTTTCATGCTTAAATCCATGGGGATAAACGGTGCATTTGGGTACATGGTTTTTAAATAGGCACACCCAAATGCACATTTTTTTTCCATTCCAAAAAGAGCTCACATTTGAGAATGAGGATAAGCAAAGGATAGGAGAACCAGGTATGCTCAAGCTCACAGAAATTCTTCAAACTTCATTTGAAAGCTCAGGTCACCTCACTTCTCTTCCCATTTGCAACCTGTCTTTCACTTCATTCAAACAGGAAAAGGAAACATTTTTAAAAAGCTGTGCATTTTGTAATGGGCATACTTGTGCATGTTTCAAAAGTTGCTCATGTTTCAGAAGTTGTGCAGTTTTTAAAGTACATGTTTTACAAATGCAACTTTGGGAATTTGCAGTCATTCTGGAGAATGTAGATACCCATTAGGATTTACGATTATGAATAGGGCATCTAGGAGCAATTTGCACACTGAAACACCATTCTCATGCTAACCAGGACACGGTAGACTAAGCTTTGAGAGGCAGTTCAGAGGCTCTCAATGAGCTCAAGCCCTACTGATTCCACCATTTCAACTTAAAAAAAAGATCTCACCCCACTCCTACTTTATATTTGAAGTGGGCATATATGTGAAAAAAATGGCTGCCCCATCACATCTATTTGAGCCTGGGTCTGTTGTCAGGATTTTTTTAATCTTTCATGTGGAAACTATATTCTTCCGGTTGCATGATTGCTCATGTATTTCCAGGCCCAGTTTAAAGTACTGGAATGGATGTTTAAAGTGGAAATCTCCAACCTTTGGTCTCTGGTTGCTCCCTGTGCAGACCCTGAAGCCATCAGGACCCAAACACTGTTCTCTGACTTCCAAGATAACCATTTCCTCCCTGCTGGTTGTGGTGGAGAAATAGCAAGCACATTGGCAATCAGTGAAGAACAGGAGATGCTTTTACATCCATGCTGCAGGTATTAGGCTCACTTCGCCAAAAACAAGAGCATTCCAAACCAGAAAGCTCAGACTCTGAAGATGAGCTAGAAGAGGAATGGTTGGAATGCATTACTGAAATGTCAGTGTTAATGAGTAAGTTTAGCCAAGTAGCTGGGGAGACCCTGATCACCTCTGGTTCAAGGGCAGATGATGCAAAACAAGGAGGGTCAGAAGGGAAGGGGTGTGAGTTCATCAGCCCAGTGGCTTGCTGGCAGGCCAATCAGTTGGACCATTTAAGTAATATTCAGTTTTCCAGCCATCTGGTTCACAAGCAACATGAACTTCCCTGAGGGTGGAGCCAACCCCTTTTGGAGAGAAATGAAGGAAACGGATTCAGTTTCCAATCAGTTCCTGACATGGGCAACACCATCACTACTTGAATTGATAGTACTTGTTGGTAACTTTATTATTACTGTGTAGTGCAAAACCAGCCTAACTCAGGAAAGGTCTATATTTTACAAACCTTTCACCTTGAGGTACCAAAAAGCAAAAAGGGGAGGTGATTATGGCACCTGCTGCCATCCAGCTACCCTTGATCTCAGAAGAAGTGGGAGGCAGATGTATGTATTTGTGGGGAGGAACTGTGAATGTGCATGAGCTTGCACTCACATGTGCGAACTGAAGCTCCCCAGTCAACACTGGATGTGGGGGGCCAAGCAGGATGTACACCTCTGTTTCAAAGGCTGGAGACCAAGTTACTTGAAGAGACATCTTCACCCATATTAACCAGCCCATACTCTGAGATAATCATCTGAAGATCTACTCAAAGAGCTGCCTGTGAAAATGACTAGCTTGGCAGGCACAAGGGAGAGGGCCTCCTTGGCAGCAGTTCCACATCTATGGGATTCCAGCAGTGAATGCCGGGCTGCACCACTGCGGACCTTTAAGAAGGCCCTAAAGACTGACTTGTTTCCTATTGTGTTTTCTTAAACATGGGCAACTGAACTGATAAAATGGCTTTAGTGGTAACTATTTATTGAATCTCCATGCTTTTACTTGGTTCAATGCATTTTTATCGCCTTACAAATGTACTGCTATTTATATTCTGTTATTTATTGTATATTGGATGTTGAAGGCCACTTTAGGAGAAGTTTTATCCTGTAGGCAGTTTGCAAATAAACGAACACCACAAAAGACGAACAACAATAATAAATAAGCCTTGAAATGAAAACTGAAGTGGCAGATGCTCTCCATAAAGCCAAGGAAACATATGACTATGCAGATTCAATCCCAGTTTAAGATCTCAGTTCATAAACTGACACTAAACCAAATGTTCTCATGTTGGTCCAGCACGGAACTTCAGTGCCGAGAGCTCCTGAGCTGGGGCATGCAGTCCCTCGAGAACTATGCTTGGCTCCTACTCTCTTGGCTTTTAGAAAGAGCATGAAGGCACATCTTTTTAATTTTGCCTCTTAAGCTATGTTGTTCTATTGATGCTTTTGCTGTTTTTTCCTGGTTCTATTCTTAAACAGTTTTTGTTCCTTCTTGTTTTGCAATAACTTGATGGATTTTTAGCAAATAAACCAGGATAGAAACGTTAGCAAATAAAAACCACATATCCATGAACAAAGGAGGAACTATGAACAAAGGAGGAACTAAGTGCCAATGCTGGCACACAAAGGTGGGAGGATAGGGAGGGGAAATAATGCAGCTACATCTTAACCCAGGGACACTATTCCCAAAAAGGCTATCCAAGTTGGATGTCATCAGCATGTCATGACACCTCATTCAAAAAATACCAAACAAGATCTCTCATTGGTTTAATGCAGATTTTGGAACAAAAACATGGCCCTACAACCAAGCTATAGAAATTAAATAATAAAAGGAAAGGAAAGAAAGAAAAGAAAAAAAGGAGAGACCAAAAGCTATAGTAAACATGCTTTAATCAGTCCTCTGCAGTAATCTGAACTGTATCAAGTCACTATGCATTTTCATTAGGGAAATTAGATACTGTCCTGGTTCACACCTTATGTTAATCAATGGTATGGGTTGTTGAATTTTAGGTTATGGTGATGTGTAAATGCAATTTCACTAACAAATAACTGCGAACAACCCAGAAAGAGAACCAAGGACTGCTGTAGGGTTGTGAACGCTGAGTTGTTTAAAGTATGGGTATTCATATATATCTATCCAAAATTGTGAGCTACTCATAGTTTTTTTTATCCACTAGGCTACAGAGGAAGCAGGCAAGAAGAGAAGAAAAGGGGAAGGGGAAGAACCAGCTGCTCTATATGGCAGAACTGCAGCACTGCAAGGACATCTGGGGTACCAGGAAGAAGCGGGCAAAATGAGATAGAAATAAACAACCCAGGCATTGAAAAACCAAACCCCAGTTTGTTCAACTGCCTGTCAATGAGTAGGGCAACAAGCCATGGGTTATATAAACTATGGCCTAGTGTTTTGCTACATGGAGATATGCTTCCTTCTCATTTCACAGCTTCCTGGGAGCCTAGTGAGCTGAGTGCCTAGAGCTCATGAAACCCCATCCCTACCAATTCTTTGCGCTAGCACGCGAATCTTCCTCCCAATACTCTCATCCCCATCCCATGCCGTGCTTCAGAATATGGACAGAAATGAAAGAAGGATCAGCATTTCCCACTGCCTGCACTGCTGGCTGAAAGACAATGCTTTGAAGAAATGCACAAAACCTTCCATGTAAATGTTTCTTTGATGAGCAGCAACACTCTCCCCACTCATATATAAGCAACAGAAAGCATGAAATCTCCAAATATAGTAACGGTGTTGCCTCATCAGAGTAACATCAGCAACACCGAGGCAACAGGAGAGCGGAAGCCTGAAGCAAGTATATCAACACTCCATGGCTCCCACCAGACAAAAATGGGCAAATGACAACACAAATTCATCATTCAACAGTGACCATGGAAAGAGCAGGATCAGTACGGCAAGAGTGGGTAGCCTCCACTCGCACTTTCTAAATGCATACTGGTTTTTACACCAGTTTCACTGCCAAGGTTTCCTTTACCGACAACCTTGGGAACTACCGTTTGGTGAGGATGCTAAGAATTCCATAGGCTGTAAGCTATCCTACATCAAGGGGTCCATTTCGAAACTTCCAACTGCAGAGGGAATTACTATTAAACCACTTTAAATCTATAGTACACATGAGGAATGGATGAACATGTCAATTACGTTTTTTCTCAATTTCTCATTTTTCTAGCCATAGGTCCAGCTTATCCCAAACTTTGAGATTCTTCCACTTTAGTTCCTATGCACATTTTATACAAGTAATCTGCTGACTAAAATGCCTTTTCAAGCTTTCTTTACCAATATATCCATTTAGGTCCCTCTTTCCCTTACTGACCAATATCTGTATGCCTTTTTTGACTGAAGGCCTCCATTGCAAAATCCAGAGAACTGAACATGCTGGAGGATAACTGCATTACAATTTGCATTTTGTTTTGAAAGTGCGAAATTAGATAAATGCACATTAAAGGCAAATGGAACAAATTTCTCCCCCTCCCTAGTACAGACATGCTCCAGAGCACAAACTTGGAACAGCCACGTAGAACTATGCGGAGATGAACCACAAACATAAGCAACTGCAGAATACAACAATAGCATCAAGAGCACCATCACATGGTAGCAGCCACAATCTCGAGTTTTAGGCACAAAAAGCATGAAGTGCTGGTGGAAACCCAGGTATTACTCCCATCCTAAGAACGCAGAGAGACTGAACCTTGTTTTCACCATATTTGCAGTGAAGATAGTTGGGAACAACATGAACTGAAAACTGAGTGTTACTTTCTAGCATGAAATGCTTTAACGCTGACAAAGAGAAATGCCCTGCACACAGCCACTCAGTTTATGCACCTGGTCATTTTTCTTCCTAATTCAGACAGCTCTATACTCGCAGCACATGGATCATGGTGAATGAAGGGACAGCTCCTTTCTCTGGCCAACAGTTCAGAAGACCCATTTGTCACACATAGGAAGACAATGGATGGTGCATTTGTTGAAACAGGGCTCATCCACTGGAACATCTGGATTTCATCTAATATGGGGTTTCATTTGCCACAGCCATGCAAAAGCTACCTTCTGCCAAATGGCCTTCTCCTTTCTCATGGCACCCTAGTCTGAGACAGGCACGATAAGAAAAGCCCTAACCTCTGCCCTTCTCTCTCACCTTATTATGGAGAACCACGACATTATGAGCATCAGCGTTGAGCCATGTATCCATGGCCTTGCAGATGCTGCATATCTTCTCCAGGGCAGGGGTGTGCAGGTCAGGCCATCCGAAATCCAGCACCTGTGACACAAGGAGGGAGGCAGGTTCCACATGAGATCAAATAAAACAGAAGGTGTTCATGAAGGGGAGGATGTCCTGCCCCCAGTCCTGAGAGCTTTTGGTTAGAAAATGCAAATGTACTTTGCCTGAGCATGCAAACCACATGCATCCGACAAAGTGCGGCAGCTCACTTTGGGCACGAAATGTATAGCTTTTGACTATAATGGCCAAGTTCATCATTTGGGTCTTAGGCCCCAAGAGGCTTCAGGCTATTTTTGTAAATCAGTGCAGTTACCTGCTCAGGAACCTGATGTCAGGTGATGCCACATTGTCACAGAGATAAAATCCCAGAAAGGAAGAAAAAGAAGCACAAATTCCATTGGAGGGGAAGTCCCTGCATAAGCAAGTCCTAATGAAAACTGATGGACGTACTCCTAATCGGCTCATGAGAGCATTGCCTGAGCACGGCACAACATCTCTAGGAAATTCAGCAAGTCCCAAAAAATTGTCCTCTAGCAAAATCAAAAAGGAGAGATCCACATGAACTGGCACATCATGATGGGAAGGATGGCAGAAAATGAGCGTATGATCTAGAAAGGGGGCTCACCCTTCCTCAAGTGCCCTGTTTTAACTTAAAAGCCATGCAGTGAGTGCTTGGCCACATGGATTGTGTTAAGTGCACGCATCACCGTATTACCACATCCATATCCCTGGTGATGACGGCACCACCATGGACTGTATGCAGGGCTGGGGAGCTGCACACCACAAAGAGCTTTTAGATGTCATCTGCATTAATTTTGTCCCAGGAAAGTCTTTTGTCAGCCTCTCCCAGGGGCCAACATGTTGCAATGGGGAGATTTCATAGAGTACAGAAACGCAGCTTTCCTCTCATGAAAGCTTCTCTAGGGTACCTCATGCAGAGCAAATGTAGTACAGTGATGAGGGTGTCGGACTGAGACCGGGGCAACTCCAGGTCTAGTGCCCACTCAGCCATGAAGTTCACGGGGTGATCCTGGGCCATTCTCTGACTTTCAGCCTAATCTGCCTTGCAGGGTACTTATGAAGATAAAATGGAAAAGCGGAGGATCAGGTAAGCCAATGTAGGCTTCTTGGAGGAGGGAAGGTGAGATATAAATATTCTCGTTTTTTTAAAGTTCCACCCAACAAAAGGGGAAATGGGAGCAGGTTTTCTAGCTCTTCTGGGAGCACTCTTCCCATCCTCATGTCCTAGGCAAACGGTTGTGTCACTGCAGTCATTCTGCTGAGGCTGTCGCTGAGGGGTAATTAACTGCTTTGCAGTGAAAGCTAAGAGCAGTGCCCTCAGGCCCACACGGTCCTTCTTGGAATAATCCACTCCACAGACGCTAAGGCTGTTTCTGAGAGCCCAGGGCAGATGGCTGAAGGCTCTTTCACAGCTCCTGTGAGGCAAAGGCCTTTATGTGGAATGGGAACTGCTCACTCTTAAGAGACGCATTTCAGCCAATGTGGCACGGTGGTCGGAGCACTGGACAGGGGACCAGGGAGATCTGGATTCGAGTCCTCACTCAATCCTCATGCTCACTGGCGGAATTTGGGCCAGTCACCAGGCCAATCCGCCTCACAGGGCTGGCGCTGGGAGGACAAAATGGAGAGGGGGAGGGGGAGGGGGAGGGGAGGAGCTAAACTGCCACGGATCCCTTGAAAAAGGAAAAAAGGCAGGTCACAGATGCGGTGTAGTGACAGCAATGATGCAGTCAATGAAGAACAGCCTGTGATGGGTTTTGGTGTATCAGCTAAGATCGTGAGTGACCCTGCCATGACTGAGCTAGCAAAGTGAGCTGAGACAGGCCTCCCGGCTTCGGCTTCCCCCATCTGACCTTCTGAAGCTTGCTAAGTTACTGCTCAAGAGCCTCCCCCAGCCTGGTCCTCTCCAGATATTTTGAACAGCTGCTCCCAGCATTCCTGTACACTGGACATGTTGAATGGGGCTCATGGGCATTGTAGGCCAAGGCATCTGGAAGTCATTAGGCTGGGGAAGACTGATGTACCAGAAGCATTTAAGCACTCAAGAAGTGCTCTATAAATGTGACATAAACAGATCCCTCTGGAAAAGCCCTTGCTCACTGCCTCCTTCCTTTGGTACAGCCAAACTCCACAGCAGCAGAGTGGCTGCTTCGCTCACGGGACACAAGCAACTTCCTTTCTCTCCCCACTGCAGATTTGAGGACAGTCTTTCTTTCCCCTCCTCCATGGCTATCCTGTGCCAACTCAACATTATCCATCTGCTGCCACAGTCACTCAATAAATAGGGTGGCAAACCAAAAACAACTGCTGCTCTTCCGGGATTTAGAGGAGAGAAACAGGATAAATTTTTCAGCCGTGTGCCTGGCTCCAGGTCGACGAACAGCTTCTGTGGCTGCCAAAGACAGCAGCAGCAGCACAGTGGGATTAGTGGACAAAACAAACCCAGGGAGAGAGACATGCATGGAAGGGGTCAAGGAGCTGTGCATCAGAAGGGAATCCAAAAGGAAGGAGGCAAGTGGCTAAGGCAGCACCCTTGGCTCTTCTTCATCCCAGGGTCTGAGCGTTTCACAGTGTCTCTTTCCAGAGATGCTCAGTCTGGCAGTCGGAAGGATGGTCCTGGGCTGCGACCGCCGATGGGTGCACATTAATCTCCCTGGGCCATTAAGTCCCTTTGTTTAATTCTTCAAAACAGGAACGTACAATGCAAACAGATCCATTTGGATCTATTTCCATTTCAAATTCCCCTCCAAACAGCTGTTGAGTTTTCCACTCAGAACAACAGTTTGTACATTTGGGTCCTGGGACCTCTCCCACAATGAGTTCATGTGCCCAGAGCCACTGAAAATGTAACAACATGCTTTTTCAAGTCCTGCCCTAATTCCCTCAACTTCATTTTTCCATCTAGCCATGGAAGCTGGTGATAGATTTAAGAAAATGATTGGATTAGAGGACACTAACGCACTTCCCACTATTTAGTGGCTTAATCAATATCTTTCCTCAGGCTTGCTTTTTGCTCAGCAATTTCTGAGGCCAAAAGGATGTAGGTTCAGGAAGTGGGAAGAGGGCAGAACAGGATCCCTAGATCAAACCCATTTCTGGTTCCCAAAAATATTCTGCATAAAGCAGGGATGGGGAACCTCTCTCAACACAAGGGGAGCCTTTGGAGATGCTCTTGAAGGCCATAATCCATTGAATGGAGCTAAAGGCAAAGTAGCTGGAGGTAAAGCATCAAAAATACTAGTATATTTTTACCTAAAAGCTCTTACTGTCAGTAAGTTTCTGGGAAGGCATACAGGTAGGCAAATAGGTGTTGTTTCAGCTTATTGAATCTCTCTAAATATCTCCTCGGTTCATCTCATTGATGTGCCCAAACATGAGCATCTTTCTTTCCACTAGGGAACAATATAAAACACCTTTCCCACCCACTTCCCAGCTAAAGTGTGACAGCTCAGGTGGGAGCAGGGGGATACACATAAATACACACTTTTGAACACAAACACAAATTCAGGGAACTGTATTCCTGCTCACATTCTTGCTTGCAAACTGGACATATCTGCACTATTTCTTAGCAGGAATGAAATGTTCAAACATCTACGGAGAGGCATTTTGACATTTTAGAACTGCAGCAGTGGTTTGAGGCTTGGTGAAAGAGAGTGGGCTCAAGAAAGGGGCTATGGCCATTTGTTGAACTTCAAAGGGCCGGATCCAGACCCCAAAAGGACTGGATTTGTCCTGCAGACATGAGATTCCTCAACCTTGGCCTTGGTTTTGCCATTCTGTAACTGAAATAAAAGTGCTGCCCTATTTTTCCCCCTTCAACCATTTACAAGCATTCCAACCAAAACCATTTGTTTTGCGCGCGCTCTCTCTCTCATTTACTCACTCTCCTTTCCACTTGAAATCTACAAGCAGTTCTGTCTTACCTTGGAGTGCAGCTTGCTGATGTCATGCCTCCTCTCTGACAGGTTAAAAAGCTAGTGGAAAGGAGGAAAATATGCAACATTAGAAAAGATGGTTTGTCTGGTGGACAGAGGGCTGGGCAAGAAAATGGCGGAAAAGCACATGGGAGCAACAGTGACAGACTCGGAGGGGGAGGGCATATGCTGCTGTTTGTTTTAATATGCATCTATGTGTCTTCTCCCTAGAATTACAAGGATGAGCTTTGAATTGTTTTTAAATTAAGAAATGAATTCTGAATTTACGCTGTTGTCACTGTGTGCCCTGAGGCACATCCACATATTTTATGCCATTTACTGGAATGGAAATGAGATGGATTTGTTTAATTGGCAGGCTTCCAAGACCTTGAAGCCACCAGCCTCAGTTCTGCTACAAGGACACAGCGGACAAAATAAGCAAGGTTGACTATGGCAAGTGGGCACTGAGAAACATCGTGAGATGAATGCACAGTTAAGAAGAAATAAATAAAGTAATGAGCCAACGACCAGGGCAAGTTCAGGCTTCAGTTGAGACCAATTACAAAAATAAAAATAAGAATGTTGCTGAATCTTTGATAAGGCATGAGCAAGGGGACAGAATGCAGCGTGCATGGCATCCAGTTGTTCTCTGCATGATCTTTTTTAAAGTGAAACATGTGTAACTGCAGTCGTGTAAAGGCCTTACCAAGTAACTGTCACCATGCTTGGATTTTAGCATTTGTGCCACCTCCTTCAGGTTGCTGCAGAAAGTCTGTTCCTCTGACAAACTTGCAAAGTTGACGGCAATGATCCGTTCTGTGACATACACCAGGTCTAGTTCACAAGTGTCCTCCATGGCCTGATTTAGGCTCAGACTCCTAGGTCAAAGAGACGCCATTGTCAGCAGTGTCCATAGTGGAGACGTAAGAGCAGAGGTCTAAAATGCAGTGGGCGTATCTTTGTGATCATCCCTGAACATCGTCTCACTTTGCTTCTGCTGTCAAGTCTGGAGTGTGTTCACTGAGTGTTACAAGTGGGCAATTCCTTTAAACTATCATTGCTCTATGGATGTTTTGATTACAACAAATGTGTAATTCAGAACATAACTCAAGAGTACAGATGGACAAATTGATTACTTTTGGTTTTTCTCAGTTTCAGCAATCATAAATTCAGTTCATTCCAAGCTTGAGTTTTCCAAATGTAGGTTAAGTTTGGAAATTATTGTAAAATTCACATGAAAAATCTTTTTTTTTTTTTTGCACATTTCTCCCACTACCACGATTTTTGTATGCAAGTTTGTGCACATGTGCACGCACTTACAAACACACATTAGCAGGTACTTTTCCTACTAAAATTAATTTTACTTCTTTTTTTTACTCATAAAGATATTTTTGTGGGCATGTTTGCCTAATATAAACAATTTCATGTGCATTGTTTGGAGAATTCCATTATAGAATTTGGTGAGTTTGAATTCCAAAGGCTGAGTTTTGGTTTCCATATTGGTTCAAAGTGCAAAAGTCCTGAAGTTCACATCCAAACAAGTTTGTTCCCCCATTCCCAGTCAGGAATAAGGTGATATCCCCTCTCAGCAAAACCAAACCAAACCTTAATTCTCAGCATTTCTCTTTTTCAAAGATGGCCTTCAGACCATCATGTAGCACCAATGATATTGAACATGGAGATGTGGAACCCAGTGGTACCCAGAGACTACAGCAGCTAGGGGAACTATGATAAAAATGATTCCACATTAAATATGTTGATTTGAAGAGTCCCTATTGCACTGTGTGTGCATGTTTAGGTGGGTGGGGAGAAGCTTAAGATTTTTGTGTGGAATTTTTGCAAACTGTATGATAAAGTGCAAGGTACTAAGGAAGAACAATGGGGGTCCTGCAGCACTTTAATCACTGCCAGATTTATTGGACTAGAGTCTACTTTTTGCAGAAGCAAAATATATACATTTGCAATACTGAATACAGGTCCTGAATTCAGAAACAGGCTCAAAGCATACTCATGGATCTGGGTGGGGAGCTATCTAAAATGAAAATTGGCATGCTCCACAATCCATACATTACTATTCTGGCCAGCACTTTTAAATGTGTAAAAAAATACTAGCAAAAGCATGGCATCCGGTGCAAGTCCGAGCCAGTAAACACATTTTCTGTGAAGAAGTAGGATCCCATATTAAAACCCATGGGAAGGAAACGGGGATTACAAATATTATGACTATTAGTGATAATAACTATTTAATAACTCCAGGACCAGAGGCAGCATGCCTTCTTTCCTTCCCAGGAACTTAAAGTAGTTTTCATAATTCTCTTCTTCCCCTCAATCTTATCCTCACAACAACAACCCTGTGAGGTAGGTTGGGTGGAAAGTCTGTGATTGGCCCAACATCACCCAGGTGGCTCCATGGCTGAGTGGGGACTAGAACCCAGATCACCTGCATCCCACTCCAGCACTCGTAATCACTGCAGTGCACCACACACACGCCACTGCCACAGCCTGGCCACTTGGGGGAACAGGATGCCAGACAGGCCTTTGGTCAGATCCAGCAAGCCTCTTTTCAGGTGCTTAAGGCTGCCTCATTCACTTCCACAATGTGAAGCATGAACCATTTCACTCAGATCTTCACGTCCTTCCACTGGGATCTATGTGCAAACATATGTTAGTTCTCTACGCTGTTATGGGGACCAAGCAGAATAATAGCAGGATCTGAACATAGCATGAAAACATGAAACAACTCTTTGGAAAATCTGACTTGGCATACCAGCTTTTGCAAATAAATGTCCCAAACATGGATCATCTGGATTCAGCAGAGCAGAAATATCAAAGAACAAAGAAGGCACTGCATATTCTAAAGTATGAATAATGCAGCATCATTGGTTTCTCAGGACAGGCTCCTACCAGGACAGGAAATGATCTCACCTACCAAGGAGACTTACCTTGAGGGTTTACGCCGTGCCTGAATAATTTTGGGGGATTTTGAGAAGACCTAGTAACACAACAAAAAGGGGAAAAATCCATGTTACTGCATTACATTACTTCAGTGCAGAGCAACACAATCAGCAAGAACTGAAGAAACTGAGTGCTTATTTCTTAGTTTCCAGATCTCATACTAACGGCAATTGGGCAATGAGATGGCACAAAGCGGAGGGGCGGGGGAGAGACTAGCTGGCTCAAAAAGGCAAAATCTCCACCGTCTTTAATGTTTCCAAAAAGCTCTTGCTGAAGTGGATTTATTTAGGGTTGCATCAGTCATAGTCAAGTATTAGTGTCTCAGAAATGCCCTGATTGTTGGTGCCAGGCTCCTCCTTCCACAGGATGCTTGCATAGACTTTAGAGGGACAGTCACAACGTAGCGCAGTTCTCTTGGCCCCTCCTACCTGCAGGGAGGGAAACGGGTGGGCACTGCCGCAGGGTCACTACCTAAGCAGTGGCACTGTTTTGTCTTCTTGTAATATACAAGTAACACAGCTACTCTGTGGCTACTCTTTCTATCACAGATAGCACGGAAAAGATCACCCACCTTTAAGAAGGGCAAAAATTTCTGAGCCAAATTAAGGAGTTCAGCAAATCATTCAGTGGTTGTGCAGGATAGAAACATTTATTCTGAGACCCTACAGAAACCTAGAGTACTTTTTGTCCAATTCGCTGAGGCTTGAGATTATAGGGAGTACCACCTTCGTTTCCTTCTGCAGCAAAAAGCAGGACCAAAAAGAGGCACTACATTAAATGTGGACCTAGAAGCTCCATCTTCTTCCCATCCTAACGCTCCCCCTCCCTCTCCCTCTCCCTCTCCTTTTTACTTGGGAGTGGACACATAGGTCCAATCTGGATCTTAAAAGCCCTCCTACCCCTATGTTAGACTTCTAATCCAGACCAAGGGCTGTATGTCTACCCCTGTGTAAAACTAAAGGAAAAAAACATAGCTGCTAGACATACATTTAGAGCAATGCCTAATCTAGCTCTTAAGAAGGATGAACTGAGTTTCCGCACACTGGGCAAAGGAAAAGAGAAGCTGCTTAATTATAACCTTTCTTGGAAGCACTATTCCCCAGTTACTTCTTATCCATGGTGAGATTTGGGAGAGCAGTGTGGACCCTGTTTCTCTTCCTTCACATGTGAAAACAAAGTTACTTTGGCCCCAAAGTTGAACAAACTTGCTCCAACCTGTGGTCTGTCCAAGTTGTGGTTGTTGTCTTTTTTTAAAGGAAGAGTACAGGAAAAGAAATGCAGACCTCCATGCAACATCTTGCTGAGCCAACTGTGTTTGAATTCCTTGGCTCTAGCAACAGAGATAATTTGGTAATTAGCAGCCAGTGCTTATAAATACACAGGGAATCAAGGTCCTACCAAGAATCATTATGAGACAATTTATCAAGCTGAGCAGAGTAAAGCCACAAGGCACAAAGAAGGAAGAGGAGGAGGAAGAGAGGACTTGCGGGATTTAATTTAAGGCTGTGTTGAAAGAGACATGCTCTTGAAAGCAAGTCAAGATAACAGGAGAAGGGAGGGGTTCGATATCAATGCATGCTTAGCTGCACACTACAGGCACAGACATTACTCTCCTCCACTCATTGATATTAAGATGTTTGGGAGTCCTTCTCTGTCCAAAGAAGAGAAGATTCCAACAGAGTAGAATTCAGTGACCTCCATTCCCCACTAAGGATAGAGAAAATACCATGGGGTGCCAAGATTCCCATGCATGACAAGCTACCCAGAGCAGGAAGGGACTACTATCCCCACTAAAGGAAGACGAAAGCATGGTGTGCTAAGATCTCCCATGCCAACAAGCTACCTCTGATGACAAGGGACTATCCACTGCACCGTTTCTCATACAGCAGCAGGACTGCAGGACAGCATGGCCGCGGGTCCCCAGGAATAAATGCTCACAGTGGGTCAAGCACTCACATGAGTTCTGGCACCATCAGCAACACTTGGAGACAGTGTGCACCACGTATGTTTAATGCACATGAGTTCTGTGTAAGTGCACCCAGACACAGTTGGCCTCACACAGCGGACCCACAATTATTTATGGCTTCTAATCATTCAGAGCTAAATGCTGCAAGGGTAGGAGTACAGAAACTGAATGTCTAACCACTCATTTCAAAGCAACAGTGTATTTTGTTTCGCTTTTACATTTGAATTGTATTTTTATATTTATAACTGTTCCATAGCAGTCTAATCTTTCAACTGTTTGTATTCCACCCAGAGATCTTTCATTATTTGGCGAATGTAAGTTGACTGGCTTCTCCTATTTGGAAGACATCTGGCAAATACACACATGACAATATGTTAGGCTTTGGTCATCTACCATACACACGCATTATGTTCAGTTCACACATAATTGATGTAGAATTGATGTGAATTCTGGATTACTGTTTATGAACTACATCCTCATATCCACCATTTGATTGCTTCCATTTGGTTCTGCCAGCAGAAGTGGCTAAACAAATGTGGAAGCCTCCAGTGCTGGCTTGTTCCGTATTTTATCTAAACCAGGATTCCTGGCTTGTCTGTTGCAAACAGGGCAGGAATCAAAAGATAAGAACAAAATTTGGCTTCAGACTCTGGCTTGCTAGCTGAGGAACAACAAAGGAATTCTGGTTCAGTTATAATGCTAAACAAACCAGCAGTGGATAGTTTCCTATAGTGATGGGAGAATGAGTGATATTTGAAATTGCTAGCATTCTCCAAGCATTGTCTCATTGCTCATCTCATGCTCAGTTCCTGTTCATTGTGGTATTCACTGTCTGGGAAAACTGCACAATGATCCAGTGCAAAATATGTACAGTTTTGCACAAATGTCTTAATTTGCACAAGCTTCCTCTATAGACTAATGTGGGGCTTCCAGTCTGCAGGGTGAACTTCATCCAAACTGAAAAAGTTGTACAAATCAGAAATGACCATATCTGGCAATATGTGATCATTTCTGGAAGATACATGCAACTTACAACTGCATCCAGAGCGTCCAATAATGCACGCTTGCATACTTGGTGTGCAACAATGAAATTCTTATTCATCCCTATTTGGTTGCTTTCCCTGGTAGAAGGAACTACACAGGAGCAAATAGGCGGCGTTCACTAGCACAAAATTTGTGATCAACAGACTACAGTTCACAGCAATTCTAGCTCCTTTTTATGAGAAAACTGGCTTGTTAGATTATTCTACAGCGGGAGTTCAGTAAATGCAGGCTACACACCTCATGCAGCCTACCAGGCTAAAAAAATTGTGGTGGCACTGCCTGGGGTTTCCATTCCTTATGCCAGCAGGAGAACCCCGGGGATTCTTTAGGAGGAGATCAGAGATACAAAAGGGATTCCTTTGCTAGTATTTGGAAGAGAACCTCCACAAAGTCCTTAGTAGCATTAGTCAGCAAAACTCTTCCCATATATCTCGTATATGTGTGTGTGTGCGTGCGTGCACACATGCATGCACATTTATACAAGTGTGCATGTATGTGCACATGTGTGCATATGTTGGTTTCTGCCATGCTGCTACATGTGCTCTCTTGTCTTCTTTTATACAAATTTGAAGAGGATCGCACAAATCCACATTTATAAGTAGTGATGATTCGGGCATGTGAATAAGCCTCCTTTGTATTCTTTGTTGTTCCTCATGATGGGCCATCGACTGAATTAGTGCAGTCATGCAAAAGGGACCTTTTCTTTGCATACAAGATGCTGAATGCTGGATGGAAGTGAAACCATCTAAATAAGCCAGTCCACTTGAGAGGTGTACAAGTGGAGTGCACTGCCAGAAGTTTGTATAAAAACAAAACCGGCTTGGCACCAACGTAAGAGGCAGGAGTGGCAATATGCTAGCTCAAGTGGTAAATTATCCAAGCAGCCTCAGAATTACAGACAATAAAAATATGCCTTTGTAAGATTGCTTCATCTTCATGATTACTCTCACTCCAGGAGCACATCTTAACTCAACTCACCTTCCAAAGATTTTCTACGGCCTCTAAAAGAAGCACTCTCAATAACACACTGAGCAGTCCAAATAATAGTTTAGCACACATGCAGACCAACTGGACAAGGCAACCTCGGATAGCTTTAACATGTGCAAGCATAAAATATGAGAAATATAGTCTCTAGTCATAGTTTTGCAAGCAAGTGCTCCTGAACTCAGGATGCAAGGGATTTTATACCCCCTTTATACCTATTTTGGGAAAGCCCAACAGAGTTTGCTTTACAGAGCGCCATCAGGAAACATTGCAATATAGTGCAAGAAGGTCTCCTCAAGTCATTAGAACTATACTGTTTTGTCTTGGCTTAGAACTTCATGGAACAAAATGCCAGGAGGAAATGTCTGAGTTGTTAGAGCAGGAAGCTTCTATTTATGCACTGTTCCCATGGCCCCAAAGTTCCATGTGTGCTCAGTTTGTTTGCCGACTTTGCGACCTCAGCTGAAACACTAAGTAGAGGGTTCTAATTAAAGAAAGATCCAACAGGGAACAACATATACATTCACACCTGGTTTGTTTTAGTATCTTCAGTTTCAACCAAGCCTTCTATACACCCAGGAAAAAGGAGAGTGATTTAACTTCTCAACCTCAGTTGGTTCTGCATGCAAGTCCACTCTTACCTAGCTTTGGCTGCAAAGCCTGAATGGCCATCATACCTAATTATTTCATTTTAAAGCAGCTGGTGATTCCATAACAGGAAGGGCAAGGGGGAGAATAAGGAGAAAGGAATAGTGGCAGCTCAAGGGCTTTGAAGGCATTTGGGCAAGACACTCTCGATGCACCTACACCCTCTCTGACTATACCCACTCAGTGTCACAGTCCCCAGCTGGCGCCTCATGCCCTCCCTCAATATTGCCACCACCACCTTGCTTGGCAGACAGAGAACCAGGGAGCAGGTAGGGAGAGCCTGCTGCTGCTTCTCCTTCTCATCACGCCAATTGCCTGACCCAAAGGTGAGCAACAAGCTGCAATAGTGAGAAGGAGGAGGAGGCCTCCTCCTTTGTCGGAGACCCCTGCTGGGGTGCAGACACACAGCCGATTTTTTTTTTATTTGTTTATTTATTTCACTGTTATACCACTCAATAGCTGAGGCTCTGGGCGCTTGATGAAAGTTAAAATTAAGCAAAAGCTAAACACACGCACACACAATTTTAAAAGAACAAAACCACAACAGCAATTGCAATAGCAATGATACAGAATAAAATGGGATACATAAAAACCAAATTACAAAGTTACTGGCGAAATGTGTTCTTGTCAGCCAGCTTCCATCAACTATCTTGCTGCCCTGCTTCGGGATCAGCTGAGTCTCCAGACCATTTGCAAATACAGTGCATTGCAGCAACTCAAACGAAGGTTTACCAGAGCATGGATCCCTGTAGCTAGGCTTTCTCTGTCCTGATAGGGTCCTGGGTCAGCTTCAGAGTGACAGCTCCAGGTCCAGAAGCACCCCAAACTATGAACCTCGTCCTTTGCAAGGAGTGCAACCCCATCCAGAACTGGTCCTATATCACGCAACTGGACTGATGAACCACCCACTAACTGCATCTTGTCTGGACTGAGTCTCAGTTTGTTGGCCATCATCCGATCCCTTACCATCTCAGACAGATTCAGAGTGGCCATTGCACTACCAGAGTTGGATGAAAAAGAGAGGTAGAGCTGAGTGTCATCCACATATTGGTGGCACGTTAGCCGACCTTCCCCAGTAGTTTCATTTAGATGTTAAATAGCACAGGGGATAACACAGAACCCTGCGGTACCCCATTTCATAACTGGCAATGATCTCCCAGCAGCACCTTTTGGAACCGTCCAGTCAAGAAGAAGCAGAGCCACTGCAGCACAGTGCCTCCTATTCCTAGCCCAGCCAGGAGGATGCCATAAGGAGGGTGCCAAAAGCGGCAAGAAAAATCCACATGGTCACACTCCACCTGTCTTTTTCCCAGAAAAGGTCACCTGACAAGGCAACCAAGGAACTGAAGCCTGATTGAAATAGATTTAGATAATTTATTTCATTCAAGAGTCGCTGGAGCTGTTCAGTCCATCACCTGCTTAAGCACCTTGCCCAAGAAGGAATGTTGGCCACCAGCTGGTAGTTATTAACATCCTCTAGGTCCAGGCTAGGCTTTTTCAGGAATGGCTCAATTGCAATCTCTTAGTGATGCTGGGAAGGATTGACGGCAAAAGGAGAAGAGGATGAGGCGGCTGGATGGAGTCACTGGGGCAGTGGGTGTGGGCTTGGGTGGACTCCGAGGGATGGTGAACAGGAGAGCCTGGAGGAATGTTGTCCATGGGGTCGCAATGGGTTGGGCATGACTTTGCGACTAAACAACAACAAGCAACTCCCATGTCTAACCATGCCTTCTCTTGATCGTGAGTACAAAGCAACCATGGTGGGCAGTTAATATGGAGTTGATTGGCTGCATGTATTATGCCTTCTGAAATCCTCAAAAACATTTAAAACCTCATCAGTGCAAAAGAGAACTATCAGAACAGAACTCAGTGGATAGGAATAACTATATCTTTTGAAATGAAAAGGATGTAAGCTAGCAATAACTAGCTTAAGTCCCATTCATTCTAATAAGTCTATTCAAAAGAGGCCTAACACCGAGTTCTACTCATTGACAAGAGTTTCTCCAGCTTTTCTTAGAGTCAATTCATTGCAGCAGCAGCAGCTGCTGCTGCTGCTGCTTTTGTTACATGCTGTCCAGTTGCCTCCAACTTATGGAGACCTATGAATGCAAGCCTTCCAAAATGTCCTATCCATGATGGCCTGCCTAGCTGTTCTGAACTACAAGCTGTGGTTTATGGATTCTATCCATCCCTTATTTATCCATCTCTCCTGCCTTCAACTTTCCCCAGCCTGATCGTCTTCACCAGTGAGTCTTCTCATGATGTGCCCAAGGTTTGACCACCTCAGTTTGTCATCTTTGCTTCTAGGCAAAGAGTCAGTTCATACATTCATGTTATTCACCATTCCTTCAGATGAATCAGATGGTGGCCATCAGAAGGCAAGTACAAGTAGTTTTATAAAAGAAAGTGTTCTCCTGGGGGGAAAAAAACCCCTAAGCCATGCATACTTAATTCAAAACTGATCATACTGCAGAGATTCACTGGGCCTTCAGACGAAGAGGAGAACAGAGGGACACGTGGCCTTTCCTGTTTGCAGGTTCTGTCAGCATTCCATTTCCTTTGGAGACTGATGGTGGAAGCCTGCTCCAAGTGCAAAAAGGTCTGTGGGAGTGCATCAGCCCAACATGCACAACAGCAAAACTCTTCTCTAAAATTGTATTTTCATTTTTTAAAAAGTGGGTGCTATCAACTGAGAAATGAGAAAGCTCGCGCTCGCTCGCTCGCTCGCTCGCTCTCTCGCTCTCTCTCTCTCTCTCTCTCTCTCTCTCTCTCTCTATTGCACTCCTGCCTAAATATTTACAAATGGCAGAGAGCCCTTGACATGGCCAATTTCCTCTTGTTCCATCACTTTACTGCTGCACAGGTTTGTCCCATACTACATCCCTCCTGTTTAAATTGGGGAACTCCTGAAATTCCAGACTCAAGCCACGCACAGCTTGCCACAGCATCCATTGCCACAGCTCCCATTCACACACCCTGCCCCATGTTAACAATGAATAGTATATGTATATTGTTAAGCCATGATTGCAGAATTGCCTGTGGTCCTTTAGTCTGATTGCAGAATTCCATCCTGCCCAGCAAGGACTGAGCTCAATGCAAACTCACCATTGGAGATGATTAATCAGCATTCTTTTCAGCATTCTTTTTCCTGTTGTGTATGAGCCTCCCTGTGCAGCGTTTAGGCACTGCACAAAAAGAACTCTGATCAACCCCCATTTATGATCAGATCAAAACTGCTCTTGTGGCTTCTACCAAATGCACATCTGTGTACCAGTAACGTAAAGGGCTCAACAGAAGATGGAAGGCACACAAATGAGCCCACAAATGAGTGAAGAAACTGAAAGCTGTGGCATTCTGCAGTGCCCAGAACTCTGCACAAAAGTGGCTACAGAACAAAGCAATGGAAAATTCCTAATACTTCCTATAGAACTCCAGGATCCAGTGAAGAATCCAGATGAAGACTCATTTTGGAAGTTTCTGTGCACTTCCCTACTCCTTTCCTGCTCTTGTACATACACACAGGCGCTATCACCCTCTTCTCACACACTGTGCAGACTGTAGTTTTCTTTCACACACACGCATACAAAGAGACACAACCATTATTCCTTGTACACATACTTTCACACACGAAGGGGACACAAAATACCCTGCCCCTCGAACACTGCAGAACATGCATGCATGCAAGCACACACACTGAGGACCTTCTACCATTCTGTAAGTTAGCATATTCTCTCTGTGTGTTTGTGCGCGTGTGTGCGTGTGCACATGTTATGTGCACTAATTCTATTTCATTATATTATATTATATCTATTCATTCTATTCCATTATATTATCCTATTCATCCCATCCTGCCCAGGAAGAACTGAGCCCAATGCAAATCCCTCTTTGCAGATGCTGAGCCAATTCCCAACCTGTTCCTATGGATGAATCCAATTATACTCTCCAGCCCACCCCACAGACCACACACGCATGTGCCGAACCCTGAACAAAAGCCTACCTTCGGAAGAGTATTCCATTTCCAGGGCATAGTGTCCACTCTTCCTGCAATCTGCATCCAATGTGATCCCTCTCCCCTCTCTTCCAAGAGTCAGCCCAGTCAAATCCACAATAATAAAGAGCCAGTGTTGGATTAAACAGCAGCGTGAGCTTGACACACAGTAGGCACCATGCTTGGGCTGGGCAGCCTATGATGCAGCTGGCCTGGTCCCTGTGGCTAAGCGCACGATATACCATGCCAGGCACAAACAGCTCCCCTGTTGTTATTGCTGCCAACAGAAATAGAGCCCCACCCCTTCCTGAAACTCTCTCAACACACACACACACACACCCCACAAGAGAGAGTCAGGCAGATATCAGCTGATAGGAATAGCGGCTTCCAGGAGAGCAAAATGCTCAGAAGTCCAGGATCCAGGCCCAGGCAGAAGGATGGCAGTGCAAACGATCTCCCTGTCAGCCAAGAGACTTGCTCTCAGTCCCACTGCTTCCATTCCTGTTTGACACACACCTTGCTCTGAATTCTCCTGGGGTAGCCAGGACAGTCAGTCGCAGCAAAAGCAGCAGAGAACCACGAGTCCTCTGCCTCGGGAACCAATGAGCAATCAACAGTGTTGCTCCAGAAGAGGGGTGGACAGAAGGTAGACCTACTGGAAGATCTCAGTGATTTGTAATTGATCAGGGGAAGCTTCCGATGTCCAGCTGTCTATGAACAGAAGGAATGAAATAGCTCCCCAAATTTGGTTGCTGAGAAAGTATGCTGGTATTGATCACAGATTCTGATTCTTGGATTCAGCATGTTCTCAGATACATCCTGTACTTTAAGTTTTAGCTCATGTCTGACAACCTGAGTCATTATTTTGCATCTATACTTAGGCCCAGAGGAAGGTCTAGAGGCACTTAAGACATCCACCATTTTGAAGCTAAGTAGGTCTGGGGCTGGTCTGAGCTAGCTTGGAAGGATTATATTTATATCCTACCTTTCCCCTATTGTGGAACTCAAGGCGG